AATCCCTGCAGTTTTTCAGAAGTGGTTTGACATTGCCCCCTTCCTAGGGCTGAGAGGAAGCCAAGGTCACTCAGTTGACTCTGTCCCTCAGGCAGGAGTAGAACTCACATTCTCCCCATTTTTAACCTGATGCCTTAACTACCAAGCCAAAATGGCTTTCTAAATACTTTTTACACAGCAATAAATACTAAATACTTTTAGTAATGTTTCCTATTATATGGACTGGGCCCCTTCCTCAGCTGCCTTTTTCAGAAAGCAGGTCAGTTTATTCTGCATTGGGTTGAGGCAAAGAACAAAATGGCAGCTTCTCTCTAGTCCACCTACTCCTGTGCTAGTTGAACCTTATTTGAACAATGGGAAGGGGCAGCATTTTTTGCCACACCAGAGGGCAGCAAAATGGTGCCAGCACACATAGCTCTTGCCATAGCCAACCACAACTAAGATCTCTAAGAGCACATCATATAAAGCAGTCAAGGTCCTGTGAATAGAACATTTGTGTAAAACAAACCAGACAAATTAAAACCTAATTCTCTCAACAATTTATCAGTGGAAAATAATACCACATTTGTGAAGCTTTAATGTACCAGTTTTGTACTTAAAGATCGTATCGGTTGACGTTTTTCTTTTTTATTCTGTTGCTTAAGGTTAATGGTAAATTTCAATTTTATAAAGCAAACAATCTTACTAATCTGTACAGACTGCAAATATTATATTAGCAACAGCTAATTCAAACTGAAAAAAAATATCTGCTATAGGGCACTTTCTCATTCAGCAACCACTATTGTTCTAAGGATCGAGACATTATGTTACTAAATCTGTGGGTCTGTGTTTTTGAATACATGAGGTGTTATATATTGGAGAGAGAATATGGTCCCCTTGCCCTTGTCATATTCCTCATCTAAACTGGAGGACCAGCTTCTGCTGTTTCCTGGAGGACATGCAGTATGCAGAATTTCCCTACCTGCAGTCAGCCTCTTACACATTTCAGTCAATAGGTATCACATTATTCAGAGCACAGATATGCTTATTTGTTGGTATTTTTTCTATCATAATTCAGAATACATAAGATGTTTTCCCTCCCACAGGTGATGCTTGATGGGAAGGGAAACTAAGCCAAAAACTTTCCTTAAGTTTTGCTGATTGTTCCTGAAATATAGTAAGGGCTTGGCTGAAGGGGTTGTGCAATTTACAGTCAATGGGGAACCAGTCAGCTTGCAAGCAGGTTGGCAGGTAAGTAAGGAGCTGCTGCTGGGTGGGGGAGGTGCCACAGCATGACTGCTGCCAGGCATCTCAGGGTATGCAGGTAGCTGCCATGGGCAGGGGATGACTTAGGTAGCCAGACTCCTCAGGAGAAAAAGCCACTGGAATGTAAACAACTTACCAGAACAACTTGTAACTTTCCCTGCCAGCTTCCCCTTTAACTTCACTTGTTGGGAGCTGGCAGGGAAAGTTGCAATTGGTGACTGTGTGACCATGGGATTCGGCAACCATTCTAAATGCAAGCCAGTTGCCAAGCCAGAGATGCTGTGATGACTGGAACGGCAAGGACCAATCATGCGTACCACTCGTTCAGCACCATCATAACTTTGAATGGTTACTGAACTGATTAAATGAGGACTATCTGTAATTCTACTGTGTATTCATTTCAGATTCTAATCCTAAAATACTAAATCACACATTTCAAGTAAAGATTTTCAAGATTTGCCAGGAGTGTACATTAATCATTGTCTTGTTTTAAAATACAGGAGGCTGTTTCTTCCTGTAACAAAAGGAACAAATGTTCTATAAAACTAAACCTTTAAAAACAGAACTTTAAAAAGTGTTTTTTAAAAAAGTATCAAAAATCTGTTTGTAAAGATTTCTGTACAGATATACTTTAGTTGTTTGAAAACATCTGAAAAATATAATAAATGCAAAAAGCAAGCTAAATGTGCCAACCAGATTGTCACGGATTCATTCTTGGTTTATTGCTTTCAAAAAATGTAAATATTTATTAACATTGTTCATCAACTAAATCTGTAAATTTTCATTTTATGGCCATTCACAGATTACTTTAACCTCTTTTTTTACCACATAGTTAATCTTCTCCATGAAATTTTCTCACGTTATTATTAAGCCTTTAAAACATATTCCAGGTTCTAAAGAGAAAATATGTATTTTAGAAATATATTGTAACAATATGCTATACTGTTGATTCTACACTTAGCTAGAGGTTTTAATAGTTTAACTGTAGACTCTTTGTTACACTAAATAAGACAAAGAGATTTATTGGAAGGCTGATTCACTCATTATAAAAGCAGTGACTGTACAGCGGCATGTATATTACCGGTGCTTGTAGAGCAGCTTCTTTAATATTAATATTACAGTGTATATTTTTGTTATATGGTTGACTAACGATGAAGAAGGTCCTTAAAATTTAAAGGAATCTAATTGGCATTTCCCTGTTTCAGTTTTTCTTACCTGTCTATTCTTTGTTTTTAAGGATAAAGTGGAACTAATTCTGCAAGCATGAATTTGATCCCAAATTATTTTGGCACAGAGCCAACCAAGAGGGCTTCCAAAAGGTCAATATGGCCATGTAATTGAAGACCTGCCCCCTTTTTAATGTATATTGTTACACCTTTTAATACAAGCAGATCTTTGATCATTCAGTCACAGCCACCATCTTGTTTTTGTTTTTTTTTGCTGCGCCCTGCAGAAAGCTACGAGAACCCAAAGAGAAAAGTGTGAAGACAAAGAGAATTGAATGACAGGAAACAGAAGAAAGGAAAGGGATATGCATCCAGGAATACGGGAGCTTTTAAGATAAGAAATTCTGTAGATAAGCAGAGAGTTTTGCACCTTTAAACAGAAATTTCATACTCCATATTGTTTATTCATGTATTGGTATAGTTAATAGTTTAATTGTTGATAACAAACTGACCCACCCAGTCAGCATACTATACACAACCAAGTAATGCCAAGAAGAAAGCTATTATGAAACAAAATAAATCAAATTAAGAAATCTATATTTCTCATCTTAGGTGTGGGAAGGAAGATTTTAAACTATTTAGCCCCACCCCCAACTTACAAATCATGCCATTTCTAAGTAGAATTTTTTTAGCAAAATAATATATTCCACAAAAAATAGATAAAAAAAGAAAAATGTGCTGTTTTTAAACTTATAAATGGATGAAAATAAAATAGCACAATATTTAAAGCCAAACAAAAATGTACTGAAAGAGTTTTAAATATATAAAAAAACAACTTAAATGCATGAGGAAACACTTAAATATTGCAACCAGCATCACAGAGACAAACACAGGCTTGAGATATTCCATCTACTCAGATAAAGCACTATGAAGATTCAATGCAAGTTCTAGGCTTCTTAATATATGATCATAGAACCCCTGGGGATCTCCCAAGACCATATCAGAGGTCTCTGTAATCAAAATTATTTGCCAGACATTGAAAATACTTGCAAAATTTAAAATAATATCATGTATGATTCAAAAAATACATATTCTATGAATGCATTATTTTTAATTTTTAATATGAATATCAATAAATATATTTTTTATTTTTAAAAAAAGCTCTTTTGGGATCCTCTGTGGTTTAAAAAGTGGAAAGCGGTCCTGAGAGCAAAACTTTTAAGAAACACTGTTCTAGATGTTGCATTTCATTAAAAACTGGAAATCATCTATGAAAAAATGCATGCATTATTTTCTTTTTTAAAAATGTTACAGATCCCTCCCAGTGGCTGCCCTCTCACGATGCCTGGAAGCTGTGGGGACATAGATGAGGGAAAACAGGTTTCATCTGACTCTTGGTAACACAAAGTGGCTGTAGATATGCAGAGCTTCAGGATCCATTATCATCATTAATTCCGGATTCTACCACAGACACACCTGGTATGCAATTGGGGATTCCCCTATACTCATGACTCTTGCTCAGATGGCATCATGATTGTGTTGTGTGCCAACTTTGCCCTTTTCTGGATCGTGTGGTCTGGCACTCAGTCACCCATGCCCTGGTCATCTTGTGTTGGATTATTGCAATGCACTCTACGTGGGGATACGCTTGAAGAGTATTCAGAAACCACAACTGGTCCAGAATGCAGCAGTGCGGACAGGGTGGCACATATAACACCACTGTTATGTGAGCTGCACTGGTTACCGAATTGTGTCTGGGTCCAATTCAAGGTATTGGTTATCACTTTTAAAACCCTCTGTGGCATGGGTCCAAGATATCTGTGGAACCATCTTTCCGCAATGCAACTGATGCCCCGCCCGCTTGTGCTGGCAGAAGGCCTTGTGTGAACCCCATCAGCCAAGGAATTTCAGCTAATGGAATCCAGGGTAAAAGCCTTTTCTGCCACGGCCCCCACCCTTTGAGACACCTTGCCCCAGGAGGTGAAATCCGCCCCCATCTTTTTTAAGGCTTCAGGAAAAGTCTTAAAGCTTGGCTAGCTGGCTGCCATGAGGCCCGGAAGGAGCTGTTAGCAGGAGGTGGTTGGTGCAGTAACAGAGGAGGCATCACCACTTCTCTACTCCAAACCTGTGATTATTTTTAGTTTGTTTTAATGTTTTGTAGTTTTAAGGTTTTATATTCTTAATTATTTTGATATCTGCATGTTTTATCACATTAAAAACTGATCAGAGTCACCTCAAACCACAAGATGGGCAACAATGCAGTTAAAGAAAAGGAAGCAAAACAACTTGCTACTCAAGGTGACCCAGAAATTGCTATTGTGGCAGGTATTTTTTTAGAATATTATTAACGCCAAAGTTTATAGTATTGTGTGTTAATTTTATGACCAATTAATCACACAGAATTTTCACCAGAGGCACAATCCTATGCATATAAATTTAAATTCTCAGTGCCCACCTCAAATGACAGCCTTTAATTGTTGCTATAAATCAATAAGATGCTGGGTTAAAATGAAACCAACTGGTACTGAGGTAATGATTTCACATTAAGAGAATAAATTCTATGGCTATGTAAGGTGAGACCACTCTTACCTCCATGGGAAATGCCTTAAAATTAACTGTGTGTTCTGAGCCACGTTGATTTTCTCTGCCCCAGTGAAATCGAACATTGTGAAGTTCAAATTCATGGCCCCGAGGTAATGGGCCTCCCACTAACACTGGAAAAGAGCACAATACAAATTATTGCAAGTGATATTCATGGCTAGCAATGTTCTAAAACCACTCTGAACAAACAGTTGGAAAATTGTTTCTCTTTGGGCAAAGGTCAAATATGAAAGCTGCAGTGGAGTTCACAATTAACACCGTTGGTAGAGCAATACTGTATACTTCATGGTTATACTATGCAAATAGTATTCGGTTGCATTCTTTTATTTATGCAATGTCACAGTTTCTTAGTGAAAAATATATGCTGAGCCGTGTTTATGAAAACAAACTATACTGTATAGGAGGTCCATGTTTTACAATGTGACAGTTGCCTTGAGACTATATTTGGCCATTTGAATACAAGAAAGAAATAAGCAGGAACAAGCAGTGGCTGAACACACACATTGCTGTAACCCACAATGTGATTTATTTGGCTGCAGCTTCACATATTGTCTGATTTCAGCTATTGAGGCTTATTCAACTAACTGTAGATAAAACTTGAGCTCCATGTGTGAGCCCTGCTAATGTGTAATAATGAAGAATGATCAGCTAGTCAAAACAATTTGATAGAGAGCAGCAACAGGAGGCAAGTAAACCTCAGATGCACAGATTCTACAAAATTGTATATGGGTTTGTTAGATGTTAGAAGACACCAGCAAATGAGAAACCATTTTGGATGATGTCTTTCTCCCTAGACAATTCATACAAATATATTTGGGGGATATATTGAAAATTTTAAGTTGTATGTTTCTCCTGTGTTAAAACTATACATTAATAAATGCATGCCAATGTTACAAAATATACATTATAGTCTTCAATTACTTCCTTCCAGCCAGGCTCAGAAAGTTATTACATTGCTCAAGTTCTCATTGAAAGTTTGGAAAGTGATTTTTTTAAAACCATTTTTTCAGAAATATTGTGGATGAAAAATGATACTGACATTATAACAGTATATTCTGAAGTTTTCTGAGAAGATTACACATACACACACATTATTTATAAGCATTTTTTATTTTAAGCTTGTGGAGTTTTGCTTATTATATTCTGCATAACTAAAAACAAAATAATTGTCTGAGAAGGAAAGATTGTTTGATAGATTTAGATAGAAAGTGTTGAACTTTGTAATCTTATTGCAGCCTGCAAAAGAGAAGTGTCATGGCCAAAGCAAAACATCAGTCAGCCTTGGATCTGGTACATAAAAACAGATAAGGCAGATAGTTAAGGCTCTTTTTCCCTTGATAATTTAACAACAACAACAAAAAACCAGACTGGTAAATTAAAAGGGAAACTCTGAATTTTGAGATCAACATTTTTACTGCATATACAGAATAATAAGGCCACGTTTTAAAAAACAGGGAGGTGGATGAAATCCTAAATTCCAATGTTCCTTTCCTGCCAAAAAGCCACCCCAAAGTATGTGTCTGCTCTGGAAGAAACTAAGGGAAATGCCTTCATCTCTATGCTGCAGTAGGCTAGACATACCCACTTTTGACACAAATCCTGTATCAGTACGTATGCAACATATGCCTCGCTCCAATTAGCAATTGGGTGAGATATGGTGGGCATACTTTTTTCCTGATTTCTGTTTGTAATTTTGGAGAATATCTAAAGTGGACTTAAAAACCTTCCTGACTCAAAGCTGCAAGTTACCAGGGCAGTATTTCTTCTAATCATAATGAGATTTCTTTTTGTCTAACCCTAGCTGCCTCATATCATTTAGAACATTGCCGGGAATATTATAAATAATCAACTCTGAATGCTGGCAAAGGAAATGTTTGTTTAAAATGTATACTAGAGAGGGTAATTTCTGAGCTCTTTTCTATTTGAAAGAGATATAAGAGTTGTATATTCATATCTCCTATTTGCACACACATTACATGTATGTTTCCTGGTGGAGTGAGGGCTCATTCCTTTTACTCCCAGCAATCAGCCATCTGCTTTTCCAAGCGACCTTTGAGTTACAACAATACGTAACTAATGTCTCCATGAGGTTTACAGGATGCCTTTTCCATACTGATCAAACATAGCTTATGTACATGAAAGCAGAGAAGTAGGAATTCAATATTCTCTAAGCAGACATTCTACTGATATATTGAACTATTGTTCATGATGCTGAAAAGTATGTCCAAAAGCTGAACTGATAAAAAAAATCAAAGGATTTAAGTTCAACAATATTTAGAGGCCATCAATTTGAAGGGTAACTGAAGTACTGCATTTCCTGTGCCCCAGTTTGACAGTGAGAATTAAAATGAAATAAATTAAGAGTTCTGATAATCAAGAAAGCTCTAGTCAACCAGTTATTTAATACATGGAACATCATTTTCCTTCACTCTTATACTTTGTAATGCACAGCCATAAGATTTCAGCTCTGATTCAGTTCAGTTCAGACATCAGATCACAGACCTTGGCTCAGTCTCCTCATAAATGTACTATTGAATTGAATTGATTGAATTAATGTAAATGAAAGAGGATTCAGATAAACTGGAGCAAGTTCAGAGAACAATAAAGCTGAAGAGCACAAAGAAAAAATGAGAAAAACGTATACCTTACAGCAATAAGAAAACAGAGGGAGAATTTTATGACACTGTTCATATACATAAAGGGATTTTGTACAGACAAAGGCTCCAATCTCTCAGAATGCAGATGATGAAATTCATTTGAGTTAAAGAAAAACAGATACTGGGTGAATGTTAGGATAAATTTCCTCCCAGTTAAGAACAATTTGACAGTGGAACCAATTATCAGGAGTGTCCTCTACTTCCTAGGATGGATTCAAGGAAAGCCCAGATAGTTCTCTGACAGAAATTTGTTATTTTAAATTACTACCATGAGCAGCAGATTGGACCTAATGCCTAAATAGCCCCATTCAGTTCTCCAATTCAAATAGAATATTTCTGAATATGTTGCTACTATTGATACTAATGATAAGTAACATAATTTTAAAATGAAACAATGGATGCTGGTATTAGCTTATCATAAAGCAAACAAAGGAAGTAAGTAGTGAAGAAAGCATACTTGATTTAGTCTTTAAGAGGATCTGAACTACGTGTCCATCATTGATGATCTCACAATCACGGCATACAACATAATTTGGTGATAAGCATACTTCCAGTAACAATGGGTCATATTTGGCCTCTCTTGAGTTCAAGTTAATGGGAGATTGATATTCCCCATTTGCATCAGGAAAGATTAGCCCCCACTCAACACCTGAAAAAAGAGAATAACACGTTTCATTGAAATGAAAGTTAACAGTTTTTCTATATGCTCTTAGAAAAATGGACTGTAACAAGATTTATCCTGTTCTGCTATACATTTTTCCAAGTCTATTGAAGATAGATCAGAAGTAAAAAATCTGACATCAGATTAGTCCAAACAAGAGGCAGGTGGAAACTGTCCCCCCCATCCAATTGAGAGTAGTTAAATTAGTTAGGCCACAGAGGCAAAAGGGAGCAACACAAGAATTTAACCTTGATTTCATTAACAGGGCTTCCATTTGAAGCATAGCAGTCACTGGATTTCTTTTATAATAGCACCACTAGCTTCTGCTTTTTCTAGCTCACATTATCAAGAGAAGTGGGACAAAAATCCCTAGGAAAATGAACCAAAATTATTTATATGTATCATATTTCAAGACCAAAACAGGGTCAAAGTATTAACTATTCAATGAACGTTTATCCAGAGGACTGCTTCTTTGTATGCAAATAGCAGCTTCAAAGTTATAGTTTGTATAAGAGCTACAACATTTAGAAAGATTGTGTTTTCCACCTGCTTAATGCCAGGAATGAACAATATATACCCACATGTTTGAGAGGGTGCTTTTTCAAAAATGCTTGTCAAGTGCAAAGATGCATTTAATCTCTCATGGCCAGCAGGTCATGCCAAAGATTTCTTCTGAAGAACATTTAAAGTACCATAATATAAAATACAAATGCCAATGATTTATTTAGGGAAAATAAAACTACGTGACAAAACAGCTCCTGTTCTCATTTTCAATTCCTATTATCACAATCATTGATCAGAAATAAAAAAATATATATTCAGGTTGATTTAAGGACAAGTCAAAGACTACTTTAGATTGCCAAGACCATCATTTGATGAACACAGAATTGAAGTGATCGTCATTTGATGAACACAGAATAAACTAACTATAGAACAGTGTCATTTCTGACATGCAATAACCTGACAGGGATCTACAAGTAAAATTCCAGCAGGTATGTTAAACAGAAGACAGCCAAAGAATCTGTAAATTAACATTTTAATAACACATGAGCTACTAATTCCTACTATCTTTAAGCCATAAAAATATCCTTCAGGTATAAAAACTGGAAGTCAGGATTTTAAGAGAAAGTTTGCTTAGCCTGAGTAAAGGTCATGAAACATCACAAAGCAGGGAATACTTTTAAGTTGATTAAAACTCTTTTTAGGTTAAAGGAAAGAATTGAATTCCTGTTTAACATCTTCTCAAAGGTGTTTTTCAAAAGGCAACTAGATATTCTTGGGGGGGGGGTTCCCCATGAAAATATTTTGCTTCTCATCTAAGAAGCTTCTTCAGTTTTTCAAGGAAAAAACCAAGAAAGTCCAGTTGCCTTTTGAAAAGAACTTTTGGGACATCCATGATCTGGATGATTGAGACTTTTCATAGATGTTTAATGTCTTGATTTCACCAAATAAAATCTAACTTTTCTAGTTTTGTATAATGCTTCCTTCCCGTCATCTCAGAAAATGTACATTTTTAATTTTTCACCCCAAACACAGGAACAGCATCCATTCCTGCATGCACATGCAATTTTTCATTTAATATCACTTAATTTTCATTTAATAGCCTGAAGAATCTGAGTCCCTAACAAATCCACACTACCTGCAATTTTGTTTTCTTAGTCCTAGATCACGTGATCACTGTGTACACAACATCTCATCTACAACTCTGGCTCCATGCTGCCTTGAAAGGAATGCCACAGGTGATAAAAAGAAAAAAGAAAAACCCCAAGAGATTAAAAATCCCTTCCAGGGGCCACAGCAGTTGTAAGTAGGGACTCGGTCACTCCAATTCCTCAGTGTAAGAGTTTTGAACGCCCCACGGCAGTGTGTTGTTAAAGCGACTCTGAAGCTTTTTGTTTTTTGTTTTACTTCCAAACAAATCTCTCACTTTTGGATGCAGCTGGCTTCACCTGGCAACCTTTCATTTTCGTCGGCAGAAAATTGCTTTACTGAACACCCCAGACAGAATCTGATAACCAAGGCAAGTATTACCTGCACATATTGATGGGGACAAGAGCCAGCGTGGGCTTTACTTTCCGTCTTCTCCCACTCCCTCCCATTCCTCCGACTGGTCGCAGCTCACAAACTCTACCCAGCCCCCCTCCCCCGCCCCGGCCGCCGCCTGCTTACCTTCTTCGTAGCCCCAATCCACACTCTCCTCTCTCTCGGCGACTTGCCCCGATTCCTCCATGAAGCTGCCAGCTTTTTCCGCGCTTCGCGGGCGCTCCCGGCAAAAACCCCGCGCGGAAGTTTGCTCTCCGCCTGGTTGTGTGCCTGAACTGAAAATAGGAGCCGGCGCTTTCTTTGCGAACTGCTAGGTTGGGACTGTGTGAAGACAGGCAACTTGGCTGCAAAGAGACACGTGTTCAGAAGGCGGTGCCTCTCTTGAGACGGGGCGGTTTGTGCTTGTGCGCAACTAGCTGCGTTGCTTAGGTTAACGGTGTTAAGGAAAGAAACGTCCATGTCAGAAGGTCGAGAGGGTAAGGCGATGCAGTCTAGAAAATGTGGTGAAAAAGAGGTTGGGAAGCGTGGCCTGGATCAGTAGGGAATTAACTAGAGTTTATAACCCTCCTTGCTTTCCCCTTGGTCTACCCCATTTCAGGAATGTTTATAGTGACACTTAAATTGTAATAAAGGAAAGTTGTTTTTTCAAACGCTGTATTACTAAATGTGCATCTATTTCTAAATCAACAATCTCTTAAAGTATAGACTATCTTCAATCCTAATTTCAGTTGTCAGGAATACTCATGCCAAGGGCCTGTAATTATCTAATATTGCGCTATATTGTTTCAGACAACCAGCTTGTTTACAGAGTTTGGGCTTCCCAATCCCTGTGGCTCATTTGCTTAGCCATGATTAACACTATTTTCTCAAGCCACATTTATGTGTTTGCATGATATCAGAAACCATATCGTGCTAGATTTATGCAATATTCTAGTGTTTCTCAACCTTGACAATTTTAAGGCATGTGGACTTCAACTCCCAGAATTCCACAGCCAGCAATGCTGGCTGTGGAATTCTGGGAGTTGAAGTCCACATGCCTTAAAATTGTCAAGGTTGAGAAACACTGTTCTAGACTAAAATGTGGTTAACCTAATCCCTCACCTTCCTCTCATTCCTGAACGAGTTTATAGTGGCAGGAAAAACATAGATACAACTGCCTTATTAGAGGGGAGTTTTCTTTTTATATTGCTTTGCGGAATTGACAAGATGTTTCTGAGAAGCTTAAATGAATACACTTAAACACTGACAGTAAATTAAAAATTATAAAAGTGATCTAAAATGTCACTGACAAATCAGTTTTCCAGACTATCTATCCATCTATATCAGTGATGGCGAACCTTTTAGAGACCGAGTGCCCAAACTGCAACCCAAAACCCACTTATGCATCGCTGGGGGCCCAGGTGGGTGTGGCCCATTGGCTGGGTATGGCCAATCGGGTGGGCAGTGGTAACGGCAGACTGGGTGGGACTAAAAAGTTCAATCAATCAATTCCAACTTTCCAGGATCTTTTTTTCCCGTGAGAAGTTGAAACTGACTGATTGATTGAACCTTTTTTCTTTTTTTTTTGCACATGGCGGCGGAGGCCTAAAGTGAAAAGGTTTTATAAAACCCACTGAAGGCCTAGGACTGGGGCAATGGCGCGCGTGCCCATAGAGAGGGCTCTGAGTGCCGTCTCTGGCACCCGTGCCATAAGTTCGCCACTACTGATCTATATAAACAAATAAACTGAAAAGCAACATTTGGTATCAATGTTTATTCTCACTTTCCCTCCTTTAAACCTCCTAGGAAGATTCATTTTTTGTTTCTAAAAGTTTCAGAATGGAAGAATTTTTATCAGGTTTGTCTGACAAGCTACAAGGAAGGATGAATCAGTACTAGGGTTTGATGAAATGTAAAATACAAAGTAATATTTAACTGCTGCAAATAATTTGTCTTCAAAGTGGCTTATTCACTCTTAATAAAGCATATTAAGCATAACATTACTCTGGCAAAAACTACATTAAATCTTAGCAAATTCAAGCACATTCATTCTTTGTAACTGAGATACAGGTAACTTACAACCTTTTGTTTAGTGACTGTTCAAAGCTACAATGGCATTGAAAAAAGTGATTTATGACTGTTTTTCACACTTATGACCGTTACAGCATCCCCATGGTCACATGATCAAAATTCCAACACTTGGAAACTGGTTCATATTTATGACGGTTGCAGTGTCCCAGCATCACATGATCACCTTTTGCAAAATTCTGACAGGCAAAGTCAATGGGGAAGCCAGATTAATGTAACAACTGTGTTATTAAAATAACAACTGCAGTGTTTTACTTAACTGTGGCAAGAAAGGTTGCATGGGGCAAAACTCACTTAACAACTATCTTGCTTAGCAATAGAAATGTTGGGTCAATTGTGGTCATAAATCTAGGACTATCTGTACTTGTAGTTCAGTGTATAATGGAGATGCAGCCAGTACCTATTCTCATCACAAATTGACGGCCAGCTTCTATCAGTCTCCCCAGAAGCGGTGAATGCTCCAAGACTGGAAGTTTTTAAGAAGAGACTGGACAGCCATTTGTCTGAAATGGTATAGGGTTTCCTGCCTGAGCAGGGGGTTGGACTAGATGACCTCCCAGGTCCCTTCCAACAACAACAACATCATCATCATCATCATCATTATTATCTTCATGCAGGAGAATTATTTTTTTTGTCATGTCTTCATCTGAGCCCTTCCCCTGCTAACAAAATAATGTTTAGGATTACCTAATCCACATTGGATGGTGTTGGAGAAGACTCCTGTGAATACCAGGAGAGCCAACAAATGGTTCATTGTGCAACTAAACCCAGAATTCCCACTTGGGGCACAAATGACTGGGCTCAAATTATCCTACTTTGGACTATTATGTTAGTTACATAATTCTAGTTACCTAGAAAAGGCTCCAGCACTGGAAAAAGTGGAAGGAAAAAAAGATAAGGCTGATATTAAGGCAAACAAATTCAGTTATAGTAGCAATAGGTGCACCATTGGAAGTCTTGAGAGACTAAGTTAGGGACAGATCATCTATGAGGTCACTAAAAGTCGACACCAACTTGATAGTACATAATCATCTGAGACCTGCAAAGGCTTTTCTATGCAGTTTGTTACCTATATACTTATAAAGATCCTAAAGGTTGTGTTCACAACATAAACTACTAGTAGCTAGCCAACCTTATTTTAATAATTTTATGCTAATCCAGCACATAGCAGTGTGTCATCTAAACCAGGACAATGGACTAATTGAATAAGATTAAGCATGGTTTATTGAATGGAGCTGATATATTTTTAAGCTGAGAAACATACTGTTGCTCTCACACACAGTCCAGGAACTGAATTTGAAGAGGATTTTAAAATATGTTGTCCCCAAACATTCCACTCTTGTGCAAAAGTTAACTAAAGAATGTGCATATGAGAAGCAAAAAGTGCAAGAAAAAATGTGAAGAAAAATAGAAAAGAAAAAAGATACAAAGAGATTATAAAACAGCAGTTATAAGTACAATTATATTTTAACTCTCTCTTTAAAGGTACATCATAATTTCTGTCTATAATCTATTCTACTAATCAAAGCCATAAATCCTGTCTAATAATGAAAGCTATGAATCACAAATTTTGTTTTTCATATTTATGCGAAAAGTATAAATTTTCTATCACCACATATTCCTGTTCCTGACCTGATTTTTTTTCTTCTGCCCCCCCCCATACCTCTCTGAGTGGAAAGATTACCTAAACAACCTATCTCAGTGGTGGCGAACCTATAGCATGGGTGCCAGAGGCGGCACTTGGAGCCCTCTCTGTGGGCACACATGCTGTTGCCCCAGCCTTGCCTTCCCCCGCGGCCCCCTCCTCACCAACAGCCCCCCTGGAGGAGAGTCGCTCCCAAGTGTGGCCCATGTGGAGCAGCACAGCCAAGGACATGGCAGCCAGGCAGCATAGACAAGACTGCCCTCATGCCCCATCACACACAGTTGATGCTGCGGGGCACAGGCAGAGGGTGTGGCCACCATGGCACTGCTGGGCTGCCTGGGCAATCTGTGGTAGGCCTGGAGGCAGTGAGTGGCCCTGCAGGCAAGCGGGGTGGGGGCAGGGCAGGGGGTGGAGCAGTGGCAGGGCCAGTTTTTGGGCACTCGGTCTCTAAAAGGTTCTCCATCACTGACCTAGCTCATCCTGAATTGCCTTCCTCCCTAATATGCTATTCCAAGTTAACAAACTCAGTTCTATGACTTAATGACTTGATTAGAATCCTCCAGCCAACTGGCACATCTGCCTGACACTGACAAGACCCTAATCAATTTCATACTAAAGGTTTTTGTCTTCCAAACCACTTGCTATGTAAACATCTGGCGCTAATATATTCCTTTCCATGTGTGTTCCCCCATTGTGTGCCTGCTTGCTCCTCTTATAATACCTTCCTTTCCAATGAATATAAAACAACAATTCTCTTCTTACAGGTAATCGTTGACCTGTAAGATCTGTTTAGTGACTGTTCGAAGTTACAATGGCACTGAAAAAGTGGCTTATGACCATTTTTCACACTTACGACCATTGCAGCATCCCCATGGTTACATGATCAAAATTCAGATGCTTGGCAATTGGTTCATATTTATAACGGTTGCGGTGTCCCAAAGGCATGTGATCATCTTTTGTAACCTTCTGACAAGCAAAGTCAATGGGGAAGCCAGATTCACTTAACTGTGTTACTAATTTAACACCTAAAGTGTTTCTCTTAACAACTATGGCAAGAAAAGTCATAAAATGGGGCAAAACTATCTCACAACAACAGAAATTATGGGCTCAATTATGGTCACAAGTCAAAGACTACCTGTACTAATTATCACCAAAACCAGGTTGAGCATTCCCAAGGGTGGCCAAGGAGGGGGGAGAAGGACTACTAGAATTATCCTTTTATCTGGCTTCCTCAGGAGTAAAATTCCAGAGACCTTTCACACTGGGCTCACCAGACTGTTTGGTGTCATAGCCTTCGGAAGCTATAAAGCACGGCTGTCAAAGTCGATCGCATCATGTGACGTATCGTGATGTATCGTGACATTTTTTGCCTTTGCGGAGCTGGGGTGGGCGTACCCTATGCATGACACATCTGGCCCTCAGGCCGCCTGTTTGACACCCCTGCTATAAAGGAAAGGAAAACTAAAATAAAATTGTAAGCAGTTGCAGTCATGTGATTTTTC